AAAATGATGTAATATCCAGGAATAAAAACAAAACGGTTTACAACATTTGTTTTGGTGCATTCAGTCAAAACTACGAATAAGAGTATAAAAGCGAGAATAATATAGTTTTTGCTATATTCTTTTTCCAGAATAACCGATTATCGACGCGTACAGTATGTCAGTTTTAATTCTAGGAGAAAAGTTTCTCGACGTGCTTGGCACATGATACCAACGCAAGAGGTTAAACGGCACCCGATCGCGCATACTTTGCTCTTAACTATGTATATTTTCAAACATTTCCCCCGTTCGTGAACGTACATACGCTAGTAGAATTCTGTAACTCGTTGCTTAGATGTGGGCAAAATAGCATTCGGAATAGAAATAGGAGAAAACACCGATCTTCCTTTTACAACTTTAAACCAAGTACTCGATAAATGCTTTAAAAACAACTACTAAACGGATAAAAAAACGGTGCACCATTGTACGTTGTGCGCGTTACTTTCTATTGCAAATACTATTTCTCCTCAGTTTGCTTTATCGATAAGGATAAATAATAATATCATGAACAAAGTTCGCATGGTATGTCTACCGACTCGAAATGACAAGAATTGTACTAACGTGACATTAAACTATTGCAATAAAATAATAATAATAATAATAATAATAATAATAATACAAATCGTAATATAATAATAGCGATAACAATAACATAGTGCGCAATATAAACTAATATGTGGCATAGGAATATGTTTCTTTTGTAATATGCAAGTCTGAGTATGAAATGTAATGGATGGTAAACGCGTATCACGTGTTAGTTTCGTTCATAGGTACTTTGAACGTGTACAATCAATTTGAGAACCATAGAAAGTATGGCGTGGAACTTGTCACGTTTTCTCATTTTAAATGTATTAAATTCGGTTTGAAGGTTGCACGAATGTCTTTCTGAATTGTTCACGAGAGAATAGGATGAAGAGGTGACGATAATAATAACGACACGTACCCTGAAATGAAAACTGTGCCTCGAGCGCTATCAACAACGCAATAATTTAATTTCATTTGTTCCATACGGAAAGAGGTTCCCGTATTCGAGACTCGTAATTTTAAGGCAATGCATTCTCGTTTCTCGTTCATATGTATTGTTCGATCGCATACTTACGTAGGTACGTGTGCATAAACGACTCATTGTGGACATACGTGTCTATTTATATAGTGTGCTCGGTGCCAATGTATGTACGTACATTTAATTATTTCATCGACTCCCGAGGGTATAAAGACGTTGTCTGCACAAATGATGTTCGGTTTGATGAGGGAGGTCTTGACAATGGAATTTAATTATTTTTTCTGATTATTACTTTCCTTGAGAAACGCCTCGTCAATCTTTAATTATATTTTTATTCAGTTACCAATCCATTGGAATAATAAAATGAAATGTTACTGTCGCCATCAAACGTGACCAGAATTTTATTAATAATAGATAACGAGTAAGACTTTTATATAAATGATTTTTTGTATCAAACGTTATTCGATCAACAGGAAACATAATTCAAATGTATAATTCAGATCGCTATTATATGAATAACGAATTCCAATTATTTAACGAATTGTTTACATGTTATTCGTTGTTGGACATATTTATCTATATGAGACATTGCCCATTTGTGCTTTTCACAAGGGCGAGTTCGAGAAACCCTGAATAATATGTGCTTTGTACCAGCCATTAAAAAATTATGGTCACGAATATTGACGACTATTTTATCCCTTGCAGTACAGAACAATTAGTGTTTTACAGAGTTGGGTAAAATTTAGAGAAAAATATTTCAAATATTATTTTAACTAATGGATGTTATTGTTTCAATGAAATAACATTTCGAGTAGAAAATGAAATTTTGGTAAATAAAATATTTTTATTTTGATTATTTAAAACATAGGACGAAATAAAGGGGGTACCAAAAGAAGCTTCAGGATTTTGTATTTTTAATAAATCACAAATGGTATGGAATATATTCGATTTTTATCATTTACAGTGGGTGTAGAAAGTATTTTACATATTCTCGGAAGTTTCTAAGATAGATATAGTCCAAACAACATTTACTAGTTAATATAATTTGTGAAATTAACAAAAAAAATGCGAAAAGTAGGTAAAAGTATAGAAGCAATAAGTATTTGTACGATTCTTATGACGAACCATTTACAGTAGAGTTTGTAACGTAAACACATTAGTTTATCGCTTCGTGTGAATTAGAAAACATCAAATTTCTAGGAAAATACTTTTAAACAGTTGTGCGAATACTTATTGCTTCAATATTTTTATCGATTAATTGTTTTTTTCTTGTTAATTTCGCAACTTACATAAATAGCTATTTTTTTTATACTCTATCTATTCTAGAGATTTCCAAGAATATGTAGAATGTCATTGTTTATCAAAAATAAGTTAATAAATTACAATTTTACACAGTTTTTTTTGGAATACTTTCTACACCCACTGTACATATCATATCGATATTAATATGTCAACTTCTCAATATACGTACTTTGGTGTTATAAAATAAAATTCTAATGTTTCGTTTGGAAAACCCTATATTTTATTGTTGTAGTTATTTTCGCAATTGTTGTTACCCAAGAAACTATAATATTAAGCAAAAAGAACGAACTTTTACATTTTACAACGAACAGTTATCATTTTGAAGTATGGAATTAAACAACTTTTCTATAATTTACTATTGTAAAAATTGATTATTTGTAGTAGAATCTGTTGTCAAAAAAATAGCAATTAAGGTAGACGTGAAATTGTCACGTTTAATGATCGGAATGAAACGCAATTCCGTCATTGCTGTTTCTTTCCCAGATTAAACAACATATGTATAAATAACGTTCTTCCGTCTTTAGTAATTTATGAAACAATTGAGTACATTTTGACTATATTTATGCCGAGCATGCTGTATATATGTACTCTATTACGTTCTATATATGGGTATATCGTATCATATATTCTCTTTCTTTCGACGTCGTGTGTGAACACACTTGAACTGCTCACAAGCGCGTGTGCAGAATATGGTCACTTATAAAATTCTTTCATTTAGAAAATATATTTCTTTACGTATATATATATATGTATTATAGATATTTCTGTGTATGTGTGTATCTATACATAATGTATATTACATTGAAATATAACGCAGGTACACAGAGCACACCGATAGAAACCGCCCATTTCTGAAATCTGAAGAAGTGTTCTTTTCTATGGAATCTCCATTATTTTATGACAGAATTTTATACACTCACTGTTCAAAGCAAAGAATTTTGAGAACAAAAACATTAAGATATAATCACTCTAATACTAATACTTTTCAAGATATTTATCTCTTAACCAAGAAAGATGAAATTGGAATATTAATATTTTAGCAGCTGGATGATTTGGAAATTGTTGGATTCAGAATAGGCGTATTTTAATAATTCTGTCTTCAAAATTTGTTACTGTAGCGAATCCTGACATAAAATTCTAGATTAAAAGATAATAAACATACTTCTCAATAAACACTTCTTTTTTAACGAATATATTAAGATGATCTGTTTCTATTTGAACACTCTGTATATATACACTCTTCTTTCTATAATTATTCATACATTTTATGATTCTAACACGGGTACGTCTTGAGACCGACTTTCTTTGTTTTATTCAACTCTGCATAAATGTAATGGAGTGAAAGATTTCTTTACAGCAATCAAAGAATCCATTCAAAGAATTTTTTATTCTCTGAGGGCCAGACAGAATAATTAATATTTATACTTACGAGCCAGTGCAACGGACCTTGCAACGTTCGGATTAGTGGATCACCCGCGGCAATCTTGACCGAGTACAACTAGTCATCTTCCTACTTTTTTCTACTTCCTTTCTTTCAACGTTTTTGATCTCAATTATCTTGCCGCTCGAAGTGTTTATGGGATCATAATAAAGTACTATGGTACGCGACGCGACACCATAAGTAAACTCAAATCATTCAAAACTCCATACATGGTTAACCAATTGAAACGATGAGAGTCTTTCAAATGTATTTCATCAAACTGGAACTCGAATTGATATTGGAGGCAGAAACGAGCAAAATTTTTTATGCATATGAGAATTTTGCTCATCTTTGCTGCTGGATAACATGCATGTAGGTTCACCGGGATCCTATCTTTAATGTATCGTTCCTTCTTCATAGTTCTGATCGACCTAGCTATGTTATTTTTGAAAAAATAACGTTTCACGGTTGGAAGTTTTGAATGCAAGATTTCGATCCGTAAATACTAGAACATTTTTATTTAATTTATAATCATTTTTTTCACGAAGAAACCCTGAATTTAGCGCAAGGAAAGTATCACAATTTTCAGATGTAAGTGTATATCATGGAACATCCGTGTTCTCACTACTTTGTTCACCTCTAATAACATTACTTTTACTTAGAAACGTGTTCATTACATCCGCAACGTACAGGATTCAATATGGTCAATGGTCGTTTTACGCACAGCTAAGCAGTAATCGCACGCGACGTGCGGTACCGCTCAAAAGTTTAGGTATGACTATAATTTTGTATACTTTGCACAGTTTGTACGTAAATTGTTTTTTACCATTTCTCAATCTCATGCTTGAACAGAGTAAACGAGTAAAAGAGGATATCTTAGAAGTCTCATGAATAAGTGTTTCTCATTTTTTTAACATTTAGAGGACAGCTTTGTAAAGAAATATTTTCGCAAAGCTTTGCAGAGTAAAATTAATGGATTATTTCAAACCCATTTTTTAATAATATTTGTTTTAAAAAATTGTTTGAAATTCATTTTGTTTCGTATAATCTTTGTAATTGAAACTATGCATACGCTGGTGGACACGTATGGTTCTTCTTAAGATTTACATAATAATAAATTAATCCTTGTATCGGATAGTATTAAAAACTTTGTTTTACAATTGTCTCATTGCAATTGATAAAATTTGCTGTATTTTATTATTCTTAATATAGAGAGAATGAAAAGTGATGAATATGTCATAAGTTATAGAACAATTTTATCAAATTATACAGACAAAATTTCAGCCATTTCTATCTTTAAAGTTCTTTAGTTTCCAGTGTCTGTTATGATATTTTTATTCTTTTTTAATTCAGTTTTTAATCAAAATAAAATACTAAGGTTATTTATTAATGCATAATTGACGCATCACCGTAGTTTCTTACGACTTTGATGAATATTAAGAAAAAAAAGTACTGCAGGGACAATCTTTTTATACGACGTAGTGAGTTACTAGAATACATTGTTGGGAATAAGAACAATATTTTTAGGAACTGTTACAGAATAGATCGAAGAAAATAATAGTGAATAAATAAGCCACATGAATGTCAAGTGACGTGAAAATGAGAATGTCACGTGGAGAATGACAATTAATGCAATTTTATCTATTAATAAATCATTATTATGCGTATGTGTGTCGCCTATAATAATCTCTGTTATTTGTACTTTGCAGTTACAAAAGTTATGAATTTTTTCTTAATAACTCTGTCCTACGCCACGCATATGTATGTGTAAAAATGGAGAAGTTTGTCAGTACAAGCATGGTATTATTTACAGTAAACAATTGCATTTTAAGTTTAGGTCTTTGGAATAAATGAATACATATTTACAAAGAAAATTTATACAATGATTATTATCAATCAGGAGGAGGAATAGGTTATAGATGTGAAGATTTAAATAAATGATAGCTTGCATTAAAACGGTGAAGTCATAGGTTGAAACTTTTTATATATTATAGAAAGATTTAACGTAACTATGCAAACATAGGTTCATCCAGAGATGAATAATTCAAATTAGATGTATAGGAAAATTTCATGAATTCTTGCGAATTAAATAATGTAAATAAAATGTGAAGTTTAATATTAACGTGAATTGAATAATAATTATATTCATTTTTTATAATCATCGCCTTGTTTGGCGAACAACTAGTTATAAATATGAGTACGATACTAATAAACGGAATAAATAGAGGAAAGCAATTCAATAAGTCGACAAGAAATACCTGAAAAATGAAGGAAGAAAGTAAAGAATAATAAAGTGGAAAAGGTTAGAGAAATTAAAGAAGGATATCAGAGAAGACAAACATTCTTTTATACAAAATATTTTTCTTATTTCGTCTTCCGTTATAAAGTTGTCACGATGGAATAACCATAAGCAAAAGCGTTGATTGCCACTACTTAAAGTATAAAAGTAAGTTGATGTTTCATTAATTTTTAATAAATGTACTCATTTATGTCAAAGTGGACCCAACGTTGAAACATTTACTTTAAACAATAATATTACTGTGCTGACTAAATTCTTATTTATTTTAGTTTTTCTAATCACAAACATTAACTTCAGTTTTCTATATAAAAATAAACGTACTTGGTTATAAAACGTAATTACGAAGAAAAAACTTCTTCATTTTCTTTAGGAAACTTTTATGAAATCGGGTTTGCAGTCATTGTGTTAATCTTAACGTGCTCGCGCCTACGTGCGATGAATATTACTTCTTTCTTTAACGCACAGTTGCCCTTGCATTATCGACCTTAAAGAACAGTTCTTAAAAAAAAAACATCTCGTGGACATTGCAATGACAATATAAATTGATTGAAACTGATGTCTATTGAGAAAGGTGCGGTGAATACGAGTTAGTTAATACACATATCGAAACTTTTGAACAGTGCTGCATGTACGATCAGTAGTATCAGCACGCAAATACCAGACATGCGTGCGAACAAAATCGGAAGGGAGCGATTTTCGGGCTTGAACCCCGTACAAAATTCGCCGCGACAAAGCGTTCGACGAGCTCTCGACAAAGACAGGCAAAATTGTAATCGGATAATATATAAAAAATACAACTAACATAGAAACTTATTCGTGTCGTTTATTAGATTAACTAATGAAAATTTTACGTGGTTTCCCAAGGTTTCAAAAAACAATTGTTAAACGTTTTTGGTTCCATGTTCGAAAATATCGACAATTGCTTGTTAAGATCTTAGAAAACTATATTAAGGATGGCCCAGGTAAGTGTAACAAGCTATAACGAACATATTTTTCATTACAGACAATTGTTTAAAGTATCTCGTAAACTAATCATTTATTAACCACTTTATTCTAATACTTTTTTTATGTAAAATGATGAGAGGAATCAACCTATGTAAAAAAATATGCGTTTTTATTTTTAAAAAATAGTATAACTATCGACTGCACATGCATCATTGCATTTATAAAAGAAAACATGTCCTACAAATAAAGTACATTTTTAACCATTCGTCTTTTCCCTTTGACATTTTTCTGTAAATCTACTGATAACGAAGTTATATCCTGTTCCATTTACTTGGGCCATCCTGTATAGTGAATCCTGTCTAAAAGATGCCTGGTTATCCACACCAATTCTTGGTACTGCTTGCTTCGAAGGAAGAAAATCGAATCGAATCCTTCACCATGTGAGAGACACGTCCCGTACGTGCGCCTCTTACACAGGATTTACTGTATTCTAATTCGTATACAAGCACATCGCATCATATGAAATTAAATTTTTATTCGCTCATTAAGATATATTTCAATCTGAAATCTACATTCTAATTTCTGTTTGACGAATAACAAATAAGCAGTGGTTTATCGTTTATTCGTTATTCGAAATTTTCATCTAGTTGAATAATTTTGCCCATCATTGACTCGCGAGCTTTCGAAACAACCACGGGGCGTCGAAAGAAAGCGAATTAAGAATGAAGAAAACAGAGAAGCGTTTATAGAGCAACGTGATAAAAGTAGAAAAAAACTCACAAGTAAAACGAAAATGATATTTGTACACGTCCAGCTTCGCGCATCGGCTGTGCAGTGTGCACCGTGCCCACGTTCTATTAACCCTTTGCGCTCGAGAGGCGACTCTTAGTCGCCGCTAGGTTTCACGTGGCAACTCGAGTGGCGACTGGGAGGCGACGATCTTTCTTTGCGTTAGATTTCGTTGAATCTGTAAACGTTGATAGCGACATCATTTCACGAATAGGTTCCCAAACTTCTTCATGTATTTTTTTTCTCGAAGTGAGCGAACATGAATTTGATTTGAAATTGTTACAAGTCGAAGTTATTTGTATAAAAAATCAGTATTAATATTAACACCGGCTTCGGAGCAATTTCCTGTCATTTCTTTCAATCGAAAAAGCTGTTATGACTCTTTCAACAGTCGAAATCTTTTGAAGAAATTTTGAGGAAAGGGGTAAATTATTTCTTTACATTATAATTTACACTTTTTAATGTGCAATTACCAGTGGTTCTTAGCTTTTTTATTAGATCATAAAAATTTGATATTCGTCTCGCAGTACTATACTATCAAAATAAGTATCGTTTCTTTGTACGGTATGCATGAAAACAATTTTCATGGTGGCACTACAATGTGGTTTTCGGTAATGACGCAGAAGGAGGCGAATTTCAATTTTTCCGCGAATGTTTCGTTCGACCTCGTCAAATATTCGCGAAACCGTCTGGAGTTGCTGGTTCGTCTTGGCAAAAATCTCGACGAGAGCAAAGGGTTAAATGCATCGTCTCCTCTGTTGCCGAAGAAGGGATGCGCAAGTTTTGCATATCAATTGCGCGAAGCTAGTCGATGCGTTGTACCCGCGCGTCTGCGGGATCTGGTAACTTGAGTCGATGTCTCTGGTCCCTGTTCTCGAGATGATACAGCAACAATTATATTATCACATTCATGATCAATATCCACTGTATTGATCATTAACATGTTAATATACGTATATATTAATATATAGATATATGTATACATGTATATGTCTAAGGTACGCGTTACTCTTCGAAGTCCGTATCTTCGTATGGGCTTAAGTGTCTTTCTACTCGATTTAAACGCTAAATTAAGATTTCCTTACGAATCTGCTGATCATGGAGCGATCATGGAGTACGTTTACACGACAAAATGAAGAAGAAATGATAACACCGATATTATAACTCTGAGATGTTTGACGAATAGGCTTCGAGTTACGATATCGGTGTTAAAGGAACGTGTAAACGATGATAGGATTAATTGTTATGCGAGCAGACAATAGTCGTTAATAAATATTACAGTTTCATTAGCACTTCTACTGCCATCGATATTACGTGGTACATATCGCTTCTTCGCACTAATAGTGATACGGTTTAAAGAATTAACCTTTAATGGATAAGCATTTGAAAATTTGCATTTTTAAAGAACGATACTCTATTCTAATCGTAGGATGAATTTAACCCTTTGGGCTTCGAGAGCTTTATTTAATATGGACGACTAGCAACTCGAAGACATCTTTGTGGCGTCGCTCTTTAAAATTGTGTGTGCTCTTTTCTTTCCAAGTATTTATATTTAATTAAAATTTGATTGATTTGATTTGATTGATGGCGTTAATTCAGTGTTATGACGGATAGCACATTATTAATGCCAAGTACCGATATTATCCCTCGTATTCTGATTAGAGTTTCCGTGTGTCTTTCTTTTTCGTGTTTCTGATATTTAATTCATCAACATTATATACAGCCGTCCTGAGCCAAAACGGGGTGTCTTGCTTTTTTCCAAGTTTTATAGTTTTCCAGTAGGATAACTAGTATTTTATTTTACACGTTTCCGTATCGAAATAAACTTGCACTAATCTTTAACGGACGTACGTCATTTCCTACGTGACATTGTCGTTTTTACCGTATCGAACGTGTCATAGTAACTTTTAGTGTACAGAATGTTGCGTTAATAGTTTATTTGTTGTAAAAAGAATGAGAAAGGTCATGTTCGTTCAAGAAAAAATATATAATATCCCTTCAAACTTCTTATAGCTACAACATTTTTTATGTACAGTCTAAAAATATTGGCATCCAGTAAGAGTTATTCGTTAAGTACATAGAAATGCTAAAGAAATTAATGGATCATTCCAATGTAATACATTCAAAAAATTGATTGAAAAAATTCTATTTCTCGAAATTTGATATATTTGAAAATATATTGTGAAATTTTGGTGAACAAATTTCAAGTATTTTAGCTTTTGTAGTTGTTAAGCTGTTTTTCGCCTATAGGTACAAGTAACTTTAAACCGGTTTTTCTCGAATCGACCTGATTTATCAGCTGGTACATCACTCAATTGAAATTTTAACATGTTCTTTTACATACCAATGACTTTGGTCGAGATCAAAATTACGTTTTTATATCGAGTTTATCATACAATTTTTAAGAATTGCTCAAAGAAACATATACAATTTCGATATTTACATTTCAACATGCACCATTTTGTAAAATTCTCAATATTAATAATTTCTCGTAATCTCTACAATAGCAATACGCATACTAATTAAAAATCTTCTTTGTATTCTCGTTTCAGACCACTCTACGAACTCAAATCTTTAAATCACAGTATCCGTCCAAAAAAAAAAAAAACAACAATACCAAATATTTATATTATAATTTTAGAAAAATAATGTTATGTAATCTACAAATAAATTGATAAACCATACACAAGTTTACACTGTTAAATATAGTATTCAATTAAAAAAAAAGAGCCATAAGTAGTACTCAGTTTTCTGTTTATATGTATATCGAAAATGAAAAAGAAACTTGGCCGATTTAAGCGCAAAATTTAAGGAAACATGCCGTCGAAATCCCCTTTTTAGCTTAGGACCGCAGTATCCTTGATTATAGAATTATAATTATTCAATGGCAGCGAAGGCATTCAACTGTTCTTAAATTCCAGCGGATCGTAAGGTCTCGAACCTTTGTTTAATGGTTAAATCGCGTCGAACAAACCGGGTTTTCATTCCGGCGATCATTTCTACGTCGTTTTTCCCCCCTCCCCTTATATTGGGCAGCTATCCTCGGTATCATTTCTATTCGATTGCCCGGCATCCTTACGGTATACCTCTTTACGGTCACTTTTGGGGATGAACGTCCCCATCGGTTCCTGTCCAACTTGCAGACTCGAAGATGATCACCACGAAGAAAGAAAAAAATAAGTATTTAGCACGATGTCACGCGGGGGACGATGTGCAACGAGGTTCTAATACGAAATTCTATCACAGTTTCTCACACTTTTGCGTCGCACTGATCGTTACCGTCGTCGATGCGATCCGATCTATCGGCGTCGACCTCGAGATCCTTCGAATCCAAGCCAACCGAACCACCGAACGTTCATAATTCGAAGCAACATCGACATATTTATATTATTATTAGCTCGGGATAATGGCAGACTCGTCGGGACATTTAACACTTTGCCAACTGTGCATTTTGTGAATTTTATGCAACAATACGGCTGTAAACTTAGATGACCACGCGGAGTCTATCGGGGACCCCGACATGGTTATCTCATAAAGGCCTCTCATTGTACTTGATAAATCAAGTACCAGTGTTTTCAGTTACTTTTTCACGAAGCAAGGGAGAATTTACACACGTTTGCTTCTATAAATATTGTTATTCCGAAGTTAGTTTAATAAATGACGTTGATTAATCCGTCATCCAATTAATAAATAGGTTTATATTATTTTTTGAAATAACCCTGGGATCTCTTATAGACCTTCTTGGTGTTTTTTTAACGTGAAATATAAGTAGCATGGTCATCTAAGTTAGCCGCTATTGACATGAATTTTTAAGTAACACTAATTAAATTTTTGTGGAATCATTCAAATATGAAGTTTTTTTAAATTTTTACAATATAATTAGCTCCTGAAAGAGACTAAAAGAGTCCACATGAGACTAGCAACATAAGTGATCATAAATAGGGGAGAGTGCTGTACGGTATACGTTATAATAGGTTTAAACGATTCGAAACAACCAGTGCCGTTAATTCTAGTCAATAATAACGTACAATAAAGTTGTTATTCACAGACAACAAGCTTTAAGAACTTAAATCGTTGTAATTTTTAGCTGAATCATGTGTATATTTAATTTATTACATCTATTCCATTTCATAATCATACCTTTTGATTAACAAATGGTGTGGAACAACAATGGATTTCTTATAAAAAAATAAGAACAAAATATGAAATAATATTCTTTCATTTAAAGCTTAGTTTTCAAGAAAATCGAGTTTGAAAATCGTCTTCGATTTGAATTTAGTTTGAGTTTAATATGTACGTAATGAATTACAGAACTATTTTACCTCAACTGAAGACTTAGGATTGTTTACATTCTTTTAATATAAGTGCTATGGAATCCTGATCGATAGAAATATACACTATATGAATTGTTATATTGTCTTATAATAGAATTTACCAAATGTTCACTAGCACAAGTTGTAAAGAAATAACTAACAATAAAACAAAAATTAATGATGTTTTCACATAAAATCAATGTAGAGGAATTGTTTTAAACACCAAAAACAGGAATTTAAACAATCTACAAATAAGTTAATATTGCGGTGTACCACGTGTAGATTATCAAGTGATACTTTACAAAAAAAATCAAACCAGCCGTTTAATATATTTCATTTCTATGGTTATATTATTGTATGTTGAATTGTTATTCTTTCGAATCGTTTGTTTTAATTGATAGTTTATCAATGCAGTGTGCACATATTTTTACCAATATGTGTACCATTCCATAACATTCTTTTCTAAAAAATGCATTATATACGGTTCGATACTTAAATAGTATAGCGTATATATTTATCGGTACTGATCCCATATCATTTTGTCTCAGAAATAAAATTTGAAGTCACTAGTAGAGGAAATACGAGTTCAGTAAAATTCCGATAGTCTGGTACGCAAAGCTCGAGCATAATGCCTCATATTGTGGAGGAAGGATAGTACGTTTTATGTGCACTTTATGGGGCGATTATAAACAGACTAATCCTTGCCAAAAAAAAATCTAAAAATCGTTCAGAGGTACAGCAATCTCCTCTGTGTTGAATTTAGGTTCCATACACCGAGGATAAGCGCATTTATTTACACTTATCCTGTATGTTCATAAATGCACAATTGCACATTATCGCGGTGACATGGTGAAAACTCCCACGGTCGGTTGACAATGTGTTAAGATGTTGATGTCTCTTATCTCCTCGAACGGCTTTGGCACACGACTAATACATCGTACACGAATTCAGGAAGATATAAATTTGCAATTAACGATCGTGGCGAATACAAGAAAAGTCGTTTCGCACTGTTATATAGCTTGCGAGCGAAAAAATCGAGACGTCTCAAGGTAACGGGCCCGGTGACACTCGAAAAAAAAAAGATGGGAAAAAAGAAAGAGAATTCGCCGACTTGGCTGACCGTGAGGATCGTCTCTTTCTTTCCTTCCATCGTCAACCTCGCATCTCGTTGGCCTTCAAAGGATCTCCAGAGGTCGACCTTGGACGGATCATTTCGTAAAAGCCGAATTGCATCTTCTTCGATAAGTCTCGAACGGCTCCTCGACGACCGTTTCGCGACAGCCGATTTGACGATTCCCCATTGGCTATCTCGTTTTTCCACGGTGGTTCAACGAAGCCCTGCTCACTGCCATCCGTTCGTCTCTTCTTTTTCTTCCGAGATTCACTCCGTGTATTCTTCTTTCCGCGATCCGTTCAGGGAAGGCGACTTTTACGGGCTTGTCTCGTCGAACACGAGCATCGCCATGGAGAGCATCGGTCAACATTAGACGTAATTAAGCAAGCTACGGTATCCTGCGCTCTAAATCTTCGTGGAGCAAACTATTGTTGTTGGTCTCGTGCATCGATGCAGGGGACGCCTCTTCGGGTTGCTCGCCGCCGCTAAGCTCTAGTTGACCTGTGCTGTCGCCGCTGCTAGAGCCGCATTCGCCGTCGACGAAACTGAAAAGAAATTTCCTCGTGTCATGTTGTATGCCATTTCTTGGGAATCGAATTGTTTTCGCGAACAATGCCGCGCGTTCGTTCGCAATATAAGGGGGCAGACCACTCTAAAACCACTTTTAAAGTATATTGTGCAAATGTTTATAAAGAAACTATGTAACAGAATTGTATTCGAATTTTCAGTACGTTTTATGGAGCACATAAGCAAACAAAAAGCTCTCTCAAAATGTATTTAGCATTGTGTTAAGGTCGATTCAGACTATACGACAATGGACCGTCACGTTCCGGCAACGACACGACAAAACATTCAAACACGCGTTTTAATGGAACTATTCATACTTAACAGATACCGTTATAGTGTGAATAGTTCCATTAAAACGCGTGTTTGAATGTTTTGTCGTGTCGGTGCCGGTACGTGTCGTTGCCGGAACGTGACAGTTCGTTGTCGTATAGTGTGAATCGACCTTTACTCGATTCTACGGTATGCGTAAACGAGCTCTGCAATAAAAATACAGGTGACCAGTTGACACGTTGGAGACTACTGGATAAATCTAAGATAAAAAAAGAACTAGACATTTTCTTAAACTAGATATCTATGGCTAGATGTTGAAAAGAAATTTCATAATTTTACAAAAAGGGCTATATCCAGACCTAGCGACGAGTTTTCTGAAGAAAATGTGACTTGAATCATATCGCTCGGACTCATACTTTTCTCTAAACCTACAAATAGGTTGAAAAGTATCGTTTAAAGGTAAAGGAATTTAAAGTATTGGTAGCTTTCGGTTGAGCGTTTAACACTATTCCACATTCGAGGTTGTAACTCTAGCAATTATAGAAATTTATTTTTCAAATTTTGACATATAATTCTTGAAATATGTTTCTTTTACGAGATACAATAAGAAAATCGATTTCTAGAAAATGTTTCAGTGGTCTGCCCCCTTACTGTCATGCGCGCATCGAAAGTACGCATTCTTAAAAATTGGGACAAATAAATATTTACACTCAGTTATAGGTGAGAGTAAAATCATAAGGGAAGTCAATTAAAACATAGGTCAATAGAAGCCAGTAAAATAGGTTAAATATAAGTATGGATAGTGTCGCGGTCCACATATTTATGAGCAGACGTGTAGTTTGCATTATGAACATTAAATTAATTTAAAAAACAAATATATTCCAACTAATAGATAGAATTCAATAATATGCGTATATAATGTTTGTTACCATTGCTGTTTATTGTACAGATTTATGAACTTCATACTCATAGTACTGGTTAAATAGTAAATACCCACTTTAAGCATCGTATCTTATAGACATCGTAGACACAAGCTTCTAAGCGTAATGAATCATAACGCATTTAATTATCGTAGCCTTGGGAGGTTAAAAAAAAAGAGGTAAACATAGAAAAAAAATATCAAGAGCTTATCTCGTGTTGCAACGTACCGTTCATAATATTTTCGCGAGCGAAGTGGGTTATTGGCTCCTGCTCAACAAGATAAATCGAGTTATCGTAATTTATCGCAGTTACCCAAAAGGTTTAAAAATTACTTGCACCAATTTTAGAGTAGATGTCGCGGCGCGTAAAAGACATTGCTCTCTTTATCAGAAGTGGTCAAATTCGATAATGTATCGTTGTTACGAGGATCGCGTCACTTTTAATTAAAGCGTTTGATTTATCGTTGATTCTTTTTTTCTTCTCAATCGATCGGTCATTAAATCTTCACGAAAGTTTGCAACTATCGTACGATACCGTACAATATTTACTGACATTGCATTTCAACTTCAACAACCGTGATGCAACTAAGTTGACACAATATTGGCTATCTCGTGTTATCTTGCCGTATTATCTCGTAATTTTCGACAAGCGATTAATAAACTGTTTTCACGCGGATAAATGTTCGATTCATATATAGATACGTTCGCGAAACCGATAAATTCTGCTGGAGCGAAGTTCACATGGAAGTAACAAGTTGAGCACAGTATTAATCAAAGTTTAGTTTATGCACTTCAGCAGAACGAAAGATAATGCTAGCAGCGAAGTATTCCGACCGTGGATAAAGCAAAGGTCGCCGATAAAATGTTGTCTTTACTTTTGAACATTGATGTGATATCGCCGAATGTTAACATTAACAAATAATAATGAATAATATTCTCTTTCATTACGAGTTAAATTACATTTAACTCTTCACGGTTACATTCGATGCAGGCATGGTAGTCATGCTGGTTGGTAATATTACTTAAAGAATGTATCAATTTTATTGACAGAAGTTTGATATATTGGAAGCAAATGATGGATCGGTGATAGAAATGAATATTTATTATAGATTGCTCTGATTATAATTTTTCACTTTTAATATGTTTAATGCTGAATATAAGAGAGATATAATAATGCAAGAGTATTATACAGAAGAACGCTTGGCTACCTATACGAACGTAGTTGCATGATGTCGTTACCGTCGATATGATCGATATCGCCGTCATTAGCATAGCCGCCATTAGCATAGCCGCCAAAATATGAATCGTGTAAGAATGCTTAACTATAAGGTGTTAGTGAAGCATTACTTTAACATGATTAATCCTTGTCTTGAATTAACTTCATTTGTAATTGTATCAAATTAATTATAGACATTTTTTAGAACTCTCAATGTTACAATTTTGCGCTTAGTAACATGGAGTCTGATTCGTAATGAATAATGCCAACTACTATTTTCTTTTCATAATCGCAACTAAAAACGTTAAAATCATTTATTTAAAAATCAGAAGTTTCTTCTATTTTATATCTTGTGGGATTGAGCCTTTCTACTAATGACGCGATCATTTATTATCAATGTCAATGAACAGTTTTTATTCATATATTTCATATATCAGATTGTGATCAAATTTTTGTACACAGAATACATATAATGTCGTAATATCATTTATATAAAATGTAATTTGTTTTATTATAAAAAATATTACTTTAAAATCTTTTAGACGCAACATTTTTCTCGCGTTTCTAATGATTCTTGATAGAATTCCAGAAATTAAATATATCGTAGTAAAAAATACTAATCAAATTCACGTCCATTACGATTAACATCAGGACTGAAAGAGTTGATAAAGAAGTTTGATGCGAACGTCATTTTATGTTCAACGAGAGCAATCGTCCTTTGTAATTCGAAATTCGTGGCAACGATTCGCAATGCGATTGGAATAGAAATGTTCACATAACGAATGTAATTGGTATGCATACCTCTCTTTGGTATTAGCAACCGCTACTTGCCGTTAGTTTTTCAATCAGGATTATTGTTACGGTCTTAGATATTTACAATCCGTGAAAGAGTGCCGGTGCACGGTTCGTGATTGCACATTTGGCTTTAGCATTGTGAAATGTCTGCTTTCAGCCAGTATCTCGATAAGGTTTTGTTTCCTCTGATAACGATCGAACGGATTGATTAAATGGTACGTCGAAATTAGCGAACACGAACACCTATCCCAAGAATCCGAGACATAAATAAATCTGCTATTTGCTATAATGTAAAACGAAAAAAATAATTTTAAATATTCTACTTCGTTAATAAATGGTACTTTTTAAAAATTTTAATTAAATAAAACAAATTTATACAAATATGTTCTTAATATTTTTTAAATTGTTTGTTTCGTATAACATTGTGTGCAATCTGGAACGTAGTAAATATTAATTATTTATTCTAGACTATCTGTGAGAATTATGCTAACCTTTAATTAGCCAAGAAGATTTCTTTGAATAGTGTTTTATATTCAATTAGGTAAACATTCGATCAATTAGAGTCAATGAAAGCAATTAATTTTTGAACGAATTAGAGTAAATATTATAAAAATATTAGATCTACGTTTCTCGATCGGAGAAATTCTCTTTTCTTTTTAAGGGAACATATTCTGAAAAATGTCCGTAACCACTGGCTTATATGAAAGCTATGATATAAATCATCATTTTCAAAACATAAAGGAAATAGGACGAATGGCTATTTGATTTATCAGTTATTCAGATAGGCTGGTATTAATTAAGTAAGTAGCGAATAATAGCAGAGACAAAACAAACGGTTGTCTAGAACTTAAAATGTTTAAATAAACTAAAATTGTAAATTTAACAATATTTCTTAAAAATATATACATAAAATTAAACAATTAAATTTCCGTTTTAGCCGATATTAGATTAAGAGTATATTAATTATATTGCACGAATTTAAAATTTTCTTTAAATATAAAGTAATAGTCTTAATGTTTTAGTATGATAGTTTTAATTTATTTTAATAGTTATTACATCATATATAAGTGTGTAAATAAAAAGTCACATTCATATCAGCTCAAGCCATTTAGACCTTTACAAATTTCTGTTCTGAATTATTCGTTTGTATTGTTATATAATTTTCAACATTATAACTACGAAAGCCATATTGCATAAGACCTTGTTGTAGTTCATTCGTTACTGGTTTAATGATATGGTTATAGATGCAAAAATGTAATTTCTATCGCACATAGAAATCTTTAATCCAGATTAGAAATTTGCTCAACTTTGTTTGGAATAATAGTGAGTTCTTCCATGAAGTGAATGAAATGACAAATATAAGAAAAAATTAATTGAAGATAAGATTATACGTGGTTGCAACAGACGAGGAAGCACCGGCACATTGGGAAAACGGAGAAAATGAGGAAAAAGCGTTGCATCTTTGATCGTTTAATGTCAATCGGACATTGTACTCTAACTCGGCTATGTCGACACGCGAGACGTTTCTATCGTCCGTCGTAAAAGTCGATTATCTCGTCGTGGAATGAAAGTATTTCGGGTCGAATTCGTGAATCAGAAACACGCTCGTTAGCCAATTAAGAAGTTTACATAATCACAACCACCTTTTCGTTACGCTTTAACGATTCGTGCAATGGTGTCGCAAATAATTTTCTGCTCGCGCATCACCTCGTATACCGAAACACGATACTCGATTAAATATTTTCGATCGATCGACCGAAAAATTCTTCAAAAGAGTATAATTACCACATAATATTCAACGGTTGGGCAATTCTTTCTTTTAACGTTATGCGAGTCGACATTCTCTCGCCATTGGCTGTAAACAGTATTTGCAGTGTACAGTTTACTGATAATTTAATTCTACTGACTCTTGGGTGACAATTTGTTGGCCCTTACCTTGCATATTTGTGCAAAAGATATGTACATATATTATTTATATTTAAAGCGAAAGTTGGGTAGGTAAGACGATGAATGTCTATAAAGCTGATTTCTGTTTTAATTGGCAGAAATTTGACATGTACTGTTACTTATGCATTGTTAAACAAACCAACTATCTCTATAATTATACATATATTGTGTGGTATTTCTTTTATTAATATTGACATACACGGATCGGTGACTTTTACATAATCTTTTTGTTGTTTATTTAGTGATTTTTGTGTCAACCAAAGGTAAGACCACAATATAATGTAACATATCGTAAAGTATGCATTCTTCTGCGTAAATTATTATAAGGATTTTCGTTTCTTTTTTATTGGTATCACGATTGTTTATTCAAGGTGGTTTCTGTAATCTCGCGGGGTAAGATGTCACGGGGTAAAATGATTCACGAACTCGCCACCTTACTTCGTTGTCAAATGTTATGAAACTATTCTCTACTTCTTTGTTCTAGGATGCCAAGAATGTACGTAAGAAAAATAAAGAGACGTATATGGAATGAACATACTAATATCAATGTCATATCACAATTGCTCAAATTTTTTGCAAGACTTTTATAAAAGCAGCGATTCTGTAAAATGCAATTAATGTACAGAAAATGAGGTATTTAACCTTGTGATCCATTTATTTTTAAATAAAACAACTTTATAGCGATCAACACAACGAAGAGAGAATCACAAATGAAGAACCCACCATCTGAACATTGTACCTCAGACAGTGATACGTTAATTACATAATATTAATCAATTTAAAAAGAAGTGAGAAAATATTTTATGTTTATAATGTGAATTTATCGTAAAAATTAATTGCATAACTTCACACGGCTATTTACAATTGGTAGGTTCCAACTGGAACACAGATATTTAATTACATACACGAATTGTTCCCAAAGATAGTGATTATTAACAAAAGTTGCATTGACTTCGTTTGAATGATAACATGAACAATTATCATCTGTTAATCCTTTGCGGTCGTATGTCTAATCTCAGCCAAAAACTAATACTTGATCGTTCGAGTTCTCGTTTTGATGAAAACTCGAATTTTTATAAATAAAAAAACCATGCCATTTTTCCTTGAAACTGCGTAAGTAAACGATCAGAGGCCGCCATTTCATTAATTTTCGAAAAAAAGAATAAAGCTACTAGATTAATCATTAAACTAACGATTTTTTTTATTGGATTGATTTTAGATGGATCAGTAAAAAGTTACGATGGTTACCGCAAAGTACTACATGTGGAACAGGGTACAGCAAATATGGTATCAATAACTTTGTTAACATTAAATATTTTTTTTCTAAAATTTCTATCAAATAAAGTTAAAACAAAGAGTAATAACTTAGTATTTTTGTTTTATAAAATATTATATTATTACTGTAAAACAAAATTATTCGAAATACCCAGTTTTTCACGGCGCTGAGTAGACCTAACCCCTTAAAGTACAGGATTTAAATGGCGCGCATACATTTTCTTTATCAAGAAATTATGTTTGTCGCTAAGTACTGGGAGTATGAGGTAAAAGTTACGCAACACTATCAAAGTCACCAACGTGTCGTTAAATCGTTAGAAAGATAGAAACTATCGTAGTTTCCTTGTCGGTACCAATTAAAAGAATTTTTTTTGATTATCAAAGTGATTTTTAAACGATCCCGCCCGCGCGTACACGTGTATTAACTGATAAGCTACTTACGTGTATGGTTGCTCTTCGCCGCGCATTTCACATATGACGTTTGTCAGAGCCATTATATAATTCTTGGCCAACGTAAGCGTCTCTATTTTGCTGAGCTTCCTTTCCATTTTTACGTGCGGTATCACCTCGCGCAGTTGCTGAAAACGATAACAGTGTTGCTGATAATTGTCGACATTTCTATTGCATCGCTCGTCAATTATTGAACGTTCGTCTATCTCTCTACAATATTTATCGTTATATAACGCAGCGACGGCGTTTTTGTACATAGGAGTTATTTTTGTTAAATTGAATAAACTTTAAGAATGTTAAAAAGTAAATATGAAAGTTGAAAACTTAAATTCAACAATGGAATTTAAATATAATAAATTCTACGCGTTGATTCAAGTGTTGAGATATTTCTGATTTCTGATTTCAGATAGCCATATTCAAAAAATGTCAAATTCGTATGAATAATAACGTTATTTAGTCTGTCGTATTTCGTTATATTTGAATGTTTATCTTCGGTATGACTTCTAAACATACCAAAACCTGTTGCCAAGATGCAAAATAAAGTTCTGTGCCAATCAGTAAAAAAGATATCTCATTTGTAATAATTAGGTGTATGCAAATATATCTACTATATCAACTAAATGGAATCTACATTTTTCAATCAACTTAAAAACGAGTCAAGAAAAAGAACACTTAGTAGATAAATGCCGATGTGTCGTTCTCTAACACCCTCCAAACGTAGCCTACAGGACTTCTGCGTATAGCTAATAAAACATGAATGACATACACCCCATTCATTGTTTACACGAATTTGAAGTTCGACGACTTAAAAATGTCTTCCTTTCGAAGTCATTGTCTCAAAATTATGTATATACGTGATTATATCGCGTATCTAATATAAATTGCAGTCTTTGGTACCAATATTTAAAAAAAAATTCACGTATATACCAGACTTTAAAAACTTGACAGCACTGCGCACTGTTACAACAGAGTAATTACTGGGGAATTCCCTTATTTGATAAATAAAATTGCATACATATGTACAGTCGCGGACAATTGATTGGTTCCAAAGAGAGAGTATTATATTTATGAATACATTTCATACAAATTATCGTAGCAATAAAAAATGAAAATACTACTTTATAGGGTTTTTTAATCCGAACAAAACACAATAATTGGGTTTTGAAAAAGTCGTTTATTTATTGACTAATAAATACAAAATTTAAGTAATCACCTGTCAGTCAATTAATTGGGCTTAAAAGTTAAACTGCTTTAAAAATAGTTATTGTTTTGAATTTGTTACGTTAAAACAATTGAATAATATGATGGGTTCCGTGAAATTAGCTATTACTATGTGAAGTTATTACATAAAAATGTCTTAGTTTGGCACCCTGTAAGGTTAAAGTCATTAGACAAGGGGGGGGGGAGGGAGGGGAGTAGAGTACCAATTGCAAAGCTAACGCTTCCACACCGTTGAAGAACTTTTTGATCTCGTTTATCATATTTGGAACTTATCTACCTGGAAATTCAATTAAAAACTTACTCAAATTTTTGCCAAAACGATGTCAACCAGAAATTAAAGCAAAAGGGTATGCTACTAAATACTAAACAAAACTGTTGGTATTAATTAATTGCCTGAAGGAAATTTGTGATTATTTAAATTTTATATTTATTAGTCCACCGAATGAACGATTTTTTTTCGAGAATTAGTATTTGTGTTTCATCCAGTTTATAAAACTCTATAAGATATTATTTTCATTTTTTTAGTGTTACGATCAAATATTACTATAAAATTATTCATAAAAATATACTATTCTCTTTTGGAGCCAATCAATCCGCGACTATTCAGCGTTTCTTTATAAAATCTTCAAATTAAATATAGTTCTTTATTTCATCTTACTCGGACCGTACCCTCAATTTTACTATAGAAAATTCATCTTTTTTCTGCGAATTTCTGAGGAACACATCTACCGTGTAAAAAAAAGATTTGGGTGTAATTTGTTCAGTTGGATGGATCAATTAAAATATGATTCGAAATGAATGTCGATCAGCTAGTTTGAGTAGGCCTGTCATATTTTTATTTGTCTGTTCTCTTATCTCCGTATTTTTATTTCCCCTTGAGTGTGTTTCGTGGGGAGAATCGATAGCTGCACCGTAATGGATTATGACGAAGCAACGAGCTTCCACACGAACTTTATAACTTCGATTTCCCTTATTCCACCCTGTTTGCCTCCATCCTTTAACAAGATCTCAAGTGCTCATCGAATCGCCCACGCTCACAGCAGATGGCTCTTACGTCTACTATAGACGTTACGCTTCTATTGTTATTCTGACGAGGCTATTGCGCAAAATAAGACGGACCAAGTGTCTTTTACACTCGAGCAGATATATAGGTTCCTCATTCCATTGGGAGTAGGATCTTTGAACAAGTGTGGATACGTCGTGTTGCGCCTGAACACGTTTTTCCACGAGATTACATTTAACGATAGTCTTGTAGAGGCATGTTTACATACTTAATGTTTTCGACGATCTGGTTTGTCGTCACGTTAAAACGAACTGTTTATATAAAAACTTATATACACTCATTAAATTACTGTAATTTACACAGACCCGGGCACTTTTGAGATGATATTATTCGAAATATTATTTATAATAACGCGTTATTTCATTTTATGATTATTTTCATAACTTATATACTATTTTATTTTATAATCGTTCGAAATAATTGTGAAATTGTTCTTTAAAATTGTATCAGGCGAAACCACAGGTATGATTTCGAATTTTAAAGCGTGACGATAAAAAAGCAAACAAATCCATATTTGTTATCCAAATCAGAAGAAATAAATATATTGATATTTTTGGATGGTAGAAAGACCGATTTGTCTATGATGAATGGTTATTTAATTTTAAGAGACAATTTTCTAAAGTGTAACACATTCTGCTTTAATATTAGATTAGACAAAAATGTCTTAAATAATAATAAAATTATTTTGAGAAGTATGTCTTTTGTTAAATTTAAAATGAAAAAGTAACCAAATAATTTATTTGTTCAAAATAACGGTTTGAAATAAATTAGTTCAAATAGATAGTTCTTATTTCCATTTTAATTAAAATTTACCCAGGTCTGAATGTACATAGCATGTACAGTCTAGTTACAAAATTATATTAGTGTATAATTTACTCATCAATTATATTAATGTATGTATTTTATATGTAATTAGTTTTTTTTTCTATAGGAAGCAACAAATAATATTTACAATTGAAACGATAAATTTGATTAATTATATTAAATTTAAAAATTTTTATTAATTACATTAAATATTAAATTTTTAAAGATTATTTGGTCATGGCTCGATAAGGCTGTTGGCTTTTCAATTCATTAAGCACATACTCAATAGATTTTTTTTATCAAGTTAATACTAACGTAAATATTTTCTCAACTACGGCAGATAACAGTTTGTTTTACATTGTAATGTTTAGTGCCTATCTATAGCTTAATATGAAGCGACATGTAAAGAATCTACATAAACAATTACTAAAATAAATCAATAATGGAACACATGAAATAATACCCTTAATAATGTAATATTTTCTTGCACGATTTAAACTCATCCTTCTAACCCTTAGCGCAACAAATACCCAATTATTTACAACGTGTATCGATGGTAATAAAACTGTAATTTGTTCTACTTATGTAAGAGTAAGTATTTGTAATTCAACGACCTCTTCAATACATTAAACAAATATCACATGCTATATATTAGATATATGTTTAGAAGGTAAGAACAATTTATATCTGCTACAATTAATCAATGAGATTCTTTGATTCAAATTTTAAGCCTTCTGTATATTGTTATTACGATATATTAAATACAGGATTTTTAAACAAATAAATGAAATTAAATTCGAAGTTATGGTTTAAGAAATGAAATGAAATGAATCAATCTGTCTATTAATAATGTTACGATGTTAACTTTAAAATATATATGATTTAAGAAATCAAACTTGCCATTTTCAGATTCGCTCAACATGCAGGTACTTTAAATAGATGGCGGAAGCCTTGTCGCAAATTTCTCTGCAATATTGTAACTCGTCGGAAACGGTGTCGTGAGTTATCGCAATTTTTGTAGGTCGACGAAAAATTACCTCGAAAGCATCATTCAGGGAATGCATTCTCATTCTTTCTCTCTCGTTGCTCTCAAGCCTCCTCAGGTTCCTTTCCCGCGCGGAAATTCCACTTTTTCGTCTCCTTGTCGTCGGTGGTCCTCCACGATTTCTTCTTTTCGCTTGTTTCGGACTTCTCTCGCTGCCACTACTGTCGCTCTCCTCACCCACCTTTTGAATCGTTTCAGAAAGAAGTACTACATTAGATTTTTATCTGTCGTGGGAAATTGATGATAATAATTAAAAAGGAATTGAATTTGCTCTGTTAACACCTTGTCCTACCATTCATTTTGAGATTGTGCGTGTTTACTGTGCATTTACAATAGAATTCCAATAACCTGACATCCTGGGGTCTTTGGCAGTGCCGAGTTATCAAATATGCAGGATTAGTGAACTGTATTCATTAGATGGTTATAATAAAAATGGCAATTTAAAAACAGAAACGGTGACAAATAATACAGTAATTTAATTTATTAACAAAAATAAAATAAAATAGAATTAAAAAATTACAAATAATATATAAATGATATTCATTTTCTGCGTCTATTTTATCGTCTGATTTTACCATCATCCATAATCACGTAACGGTGATAGGCAACAAGCAATTATATTTTTAATCATCTGATCATTTAATTGAAACATTATTTAAAATTAACTTCAATTTTAATTATTGAAGACAGGTTTCAAATGAAAGGAACCTTTAATTCTTGATATTTTCGATATTTATTTTTGTGCATTGCCTTTATGAACAACGTATAAAGAATTTAGATTTAAAAAATATGATATTCTTTAAATTTAATTAAAATTATCACTATATTAAAAAGCAGGAACGAAAATATTTCATAATAATAATTTAATTCTACTTTATTTGATCTACGAAAAATGTTTCTTTTTATATTCAGTGGGTTCATAAGTAGGTAAATTGTAATCAAGATTTTATTCGAGTCTGAATTTAACCTATACAATATTTGTTAAATATTTAGACAACAATCATGCGATAAATGAGAAACTCGGACTTCTCAGAAATATAAATTTTCTTTGGAATAATCAATGACGTCTTTCAATAAACTATTTCTGGTTATCGAAGAAGATTTATTTCTGCTGGATAAAAATACGAGTTTTCCAACACGCTGAACGTAAAATATTTTCATTGTACACTATAATCGCTGCTGCCGCAATCGATTGCATTCTAATGTCCGTTAGAAATACTAGGAGTTCTTGTAACGTAATAGATAAGATTACTTTGATAGATGTCCATGAGTTGTGAATCGTGGTAAATTATTTGTTTCCCTCCTAGTGTAAAATATATTAAACAAATACAATGAATTTGTCAAAACTAATTATGATAATAATAATAATAAAAATCAATGATTTACTAGAGACAGAAAACAATAATAGCTATCCTCACATTCATTGCAGTAATATAAAAACAGCATTCAAAAAGATTTTACTGAAAAAGTTTAACGTTAAAATAAATTTTATATTCAATATAATAATAATTTATAGAAGTAGGTAAATGCATTAAAGACAAAAAGAAAACAAAAAATAGAAGATGTAAGTTTAAATTTAAAGGAATGGAATGAATGAAAGAATTGAAAAAGAGTTTGTCAATTTAAAGAAACCAGTCATTCAATGCAATAAGTTAATCAATTAAACGCATAAATCACAGTTTTGATGTTAAGAATGTAAGAGTGATAGAAATCTAAAAGCAAAATTAACCAAAAAGATTATGTTGATGATAAGGTATATCTCAGTCGTTTAATGGTTAAAACAATTACTAGAAAAGTTTTTAAAAATGCCATCTTTTAGTATTACATATTTGTGAACCTTTTAACTTTCTGACTTGGACTACAATCAAGGCTGAAATCTAACGAAAATCTACTTATACGTCAATACTACTTATGATTATTGGAAGTGCACTTGTCGAACCAATTAATTTTGATATGACACCTACAGTGAAATTAATTATAGATAAGATTAAATTTGTCATGATAGATATCCAATTCTGTTCATAGAATGGTCATTTATCGTTTCGTACTCGGATACATTCCTTCTACTACTGTTCATTGAAACTATTACGACCAGTTAATCCAATTTCTAATTAAAACATGATTTGTACGTGGGTTCTTATACATATATTCTCCTGTACTGATTACGATAAATAATCTTAGCTTTACTTAGCTTTAATAATAATTTTAGCTTTACTTTGTTTTTATTACATATTTGTGTATTACTTTTTAATAATATTATTTCAAATAACCATGAGAACCACATAAAATGTTAACAGCATCAACGTTCAATGTCATCTTCATGCGTTAATGAACCCCGTTATTATTATAAAAATATTACTCATGCGCGTCTTACAATTGGACATGATCTTTCAATTCATTTGTCCTTATTCAATATTATACGCAACTATCACAAACAAAATAATGAAATAAAACAGGTCATGCTAATTTAATTAAAAACATTGTGCGCAAAGTTTTCATTACTTTTAGGACTCCGTATATATTCAATGACAAGAGCACTGAGCTGCTGATAAGCTCGATCGATGTAATAGAAGTCGTAATCTTGACCTCAGGGTGCTAGCGTGCGTAGAATCGATAGACATTGAACGATATATGCATGTATTTGTAAATAGTTTAAATATGTAGTGTTGAAATGCAACGTGGATAACACGTAGAGTATTAATTCAGTATCAGCAACATTAATGTTGGATAATTTCATTTTGAGATTTATACATATATGTATAAGCTATATTTTTGCTGTTTGAAGTATCCAATATGCATATATGCCTCTCATACTTATTCTCAGTTATTTCAGCCATTTATTTGATAACAATTATTGTTACTTTTACAACCCAAACAAAAATCAGACTTAAAATGGCTTATACTTTCAATTTTCCTTTTAAAATCAGAAGCGTTCTGAGTGAATAAAGTATATAAGTATCTTATGATGCTCACTATGTCGTAGTCGTGATAAAATTGAGTTTCTGTTGACACTGTTCTGTTGTTCTTTAAACAAATTTCTATATGTTTTGGTCAATCGTGACGGTGTTCATTTGTTCACATGTTCAATAATTTTCTAGTTAGTCTTATATTCAAATAGATCTGTACATATAATTAACTAAATTATATAAATAAGTTAAATAAGTTTATAATAATTAAAATATACAAATAATCGATATAATGCGTACATAAAAAAAAATATAATTTTTGTTAATTGAATATAAGTTCCATTATTTAGAATTTTCTTGGTTTATACATTACCTAATTTATTATCCTTACACTTTTATTATTACAGTTTTATTACGTCGTATATATTTAGAAATGATCATCAGGAAATGGTTGAAGAGGTTTGTGTTAAAGTTATTAGATGTAGGAATGAATTCTCTGTCATTACATTTAATTATTTACAACACTAGTTTAAACGGAAATATTTACCCAGCATTTTATGACTTTAATGTACCAACCTTCATAGTAATGAAACACACTGATTACTGCGATATTTAGTTTTGCAACTATGTATGTACTCTTGGAATTCGTGACTGAGGGAAGATTAAAAGTTGTATGGTTTTTCTTTATAGGGTAAATGACCTCATTACCAAACGTACAAGAACTTAATTTGATAAAAATAAGTATTTCTAACTGCCATTTAAGAATATTTGCGTGAATTATGGATTGTTAAAATTATTGAAGTGTTTAGTTTCCCAATTGAATTAGTTTTACAGTGTTATTTGACTCCTTAGATGAAAATTTCCATAGAACAATTTCCGACCTCTAATATTTATAGCAATATTAAAAAAATATTAACGTTTTTTTCGATTGTATTGTTGTTCACATCGTTCTATGATTAAGATATTTCACATATTTACGTATTTGTATTATAAAATTTATAATTTTTGAAATCTCTATTTTATAAACTAACCAATCAACGATTTCGAAAATTTATGAATATATGTATATCAATTATATTTGACGGTGCTTGTACTGTAAAGAAGATTAACAAATTAAATAATGGATAAATATTTTTACTTGTAATATCTTAACCTATTGATCAATATATAGTTTCATATGTTAAAATAGAATTAATGAAATATACAACTGGTCAATAAGGTCATCAACATTAAATAAATGATAAGTTTAACTTAAAAAGCCATAGAATTAATTTCGATCTCAAATGTCACGAAGTATACATGTAAATGAATAAAACACTGTTGGATTGACCAAAAAGAAAGAGCATTTTGTAAAAAAGAGAACTCTTTATAGACTTGATCTTGATATAGACATCGATATCAATAAAACTTTCTTACGTTGCTTGACGACCAAAAAACTAGTTAACATTAGCCTTGTTCCAAACTTTAATTAAATTCGAGTAAAATATACAATGGTCATACTATATGTCCAATGAATTTGAATACCGGTAATAAATCTTTCTCGAATGTCCTATAAATGTGACAGTGGTCAATGGTAGGTTAATTAGAGTAACGTTAAATTCATCTCTGATCCGAAAATTGCTATCGGCAGATTGAATTTTATTACTCTTCGAATAGAAAATAACTCACCTCCGCGCCAACCACATGGTGCCGACTTCGTTTTCCGGTAAGCGAGTCGACGGAAGCGTCGTCCAGGTCGATATACATCTCCTGATCGCAGTCTTGATCGCTACCTGATAACCTCTCCAGGCTTCTCATTATCCTGAGGAAAGTTATGGCGTGGACCCCCTGTAACAGAACCCGATGCACCATTAATTTTCTTCGAATGTCAGAATAATTGAATATTGGCAATTTTTCAACTCGAATCGTTAGCGATATTCAGTGGCTCGTCTAGTCCGAGTAAATCTAATAAAATGACTAGTGATTCTAGAATCCGATACGTCGTTAAACTTCATTGGAAAGGGATTTTCAAAAGGGTCTTTAGAACTTTGTTTTTTTAATAACAATGTAATCGTGGTGGATACTTCAAACCATCATTCACGTTTGATTGTAATTATGTGCGTACTTTTATTTTAAATTAAAAAATCGGATATATTCCATACCACTTGTGTTTTACTAAGAAATAAAATTCCTAAACTTTCTTTTGGAAAATCCTCTATATTCTCTGATATTTCAACTACGAGTTTGAGTGACCTTTTACAAGAATTAATATTTCATAAAATGTTTCATAAAGTACGTAAACTCGGATAAATCATACACATATAATTATTTAATAATAGGAGAGTAAACATACAAAAATGGTAAAGTAAAGTTTCATTTTGTAAATTATTTGTTTGCAAAAACTATCGCAAAAGAAATTGCTGTTACGGTTGTTGGTTAAGGTATTAGAGCCACTAAAAAAAAATAGGGCTTTTAAGATCTTATAACCAATAACAAATTTGTAGGTAACATATATTATTCAACAATTATTCAGTATATAGTACTGGAAATTTAAAAATGCGATTCAGAAACACGCACTGTATATGAGACTGGCGTTACTTCTTTAAAATAGAGAAATATTTATTCTTCAAAACCGGTTTTCTTAGATGAAACATACTAAGAATCGAATTAAGCATACAATATAATTTGCCGTCCTGACCGTATAATGAATCCTTTTCAAGGGACAATTTCTTATAATCCATAAAAATAAATTTATTATTAAGTGGAATACAATACTTTTTTAGGAAAATTCATATTAAAAAGTTTGTATTAATATAAATCGTTTAAACTCGATAAACAACGAAAAATATCAGTACTAGGGTGTCTCATAAGTTCCCGGACACTTGATGGCTGAATTTTTTATATTAAAATTCTTTATGACATTTGATCCAAATCGGAATTGAACAATTGGTAGAAAGATGGATGAAATCTATCAGAAGCGATGGCATTTATTTTGAAGAATAATTATTGTTTGATTATAATGTTATTATAAAATGATTTATTGATAGCAAGTGTCCGGGAACTAATGGCACAACCCAGTAGATGTATAGTGCTATTCACTTTGAAGTATTATCCAGAGTCACACATTTTATTCTTTCTTTAGTGTCTTTAATACTCTTGTCAGCGATTGTGCATCGCTAATTGGCGTAAAAAATTTGTCTTGTTATTCAGAAAACTCTGACGACTATTTATTTCGCGATACGTCGTAAATACCTATTGTAAGACTGATTGATGATTGTGTCTGACGCATGAATGTTTTGGACTTGGAAAATAGACGCATTTATATTTATACCAAAACCATTAATTGATATCGTTAATTGTAGTCGTCACAATTTGAATTGAAACACTTTGCTTTATATTAGGTGTAGAAATTAATTCTGTGCCTTTCTAAGGTAAATTTAACATTTAGTTACAAAGAAAAATCATACAACTCTTAATTTTTCCTCAGTAAAATATTTCAAAAGAGCACGTAAAGCTATAGAACCAAATGTAGAAGCAATATGTGTGTTTCGTTACTTTGGTAGTTGGTACTCTAACATAAGAAAATGGCCAGTAAATATTTTTACATGAACTATGATAGAATTATAAATTACTAAGTGATTGTAAAGACGCAAAATTAATTTCTACACTTAATAATCGCCAAGTACACTACTGAACTTTGAATATGTACGTAAATTATAATAACTATCAGGTTGAGATCAGATTATGAAATTGAAGGTTAATAGTTTAACGTAACAAAATGATAAGCAAATATTTTTACTTAAACTACATGTGGTTATGAACGATTTAATGTAAAGGCACAGAATTAATTTCTACACCTAGTAATTTTAAAAGCATATGTTGACTATAAAATTATTTTTCAATTTGAGTTTCGTAGTCTCTACTTTGCTCAGAATCGATAAAGATCACTTGTTTCAACAATGCCAACTAAGTTTAGTAATGGAGTTAGACCTTGATGTCACGTCTAATCTACAGTCGCACCGAAGATATAATCGACATGGAACATCAGCACTAAACATGCCACAAGTAGCAACGAAATCTCATTAAGCAATATTTACTTATTGATTCGTTCATGAACGCAAAATAAATTCTAGATTTAGAAACATTCCCGAATATATTTTCGAATACAAGAAATAATTATTTTATTTAAAACAAATATTTAAAGCAATTATTGTTTATTTCAATACATTGTCAAATACAATAAATGAACTATTTCATAATTTTGATGGTAGGATATACATTGTGGTGGTAGTATATACAAGAAGCATCTTTTTCTTTTATTTTGATCAACATAGTTTCATAAGTGCTTCTACATGAGAAAGTCACTTAGAAATTAACGCAGAATATTTTTGAATATGTTCTGAAATAAAATAGGCATATATTAGCATCGAAATATGTAAATTTGATAAAGTTTCTTCTTTCCAGTATAATCGTGAATTTAGTTATTCAAGGTCAGTTAAAGGTCAATATACTGTAAGGGATTGAATTTCTGTTTGTGTGAATTACATCATCGCGTTAATGAAAATACAGTGAATGTAGATCAATGATATTTTACATATTCTCGGAAATCTCTAAGATAGATATAGTCCAAATAACATTTACTAGTTAATATAATTTATGAAATTAACAAAAAAATTGCGAAAAGTGTATAAAAGTATAGAAGCAATAAGTATTTGTACGATTCTTACGACGAACCATTTACAGCAGAGTTTGTAACGTAAACACGTTACTTTATTGCTCCGTGCGAATTAGAAAACATCAAATTTTCAGGAAAGTACTTTTAAACAGTTGTGCGAATACTTATTGCTTCAATATTTCTATCGATTAATTGTTTCTTTCTTGTTAATTTCGCAACTTACATAAATAGCTATTTTCTTTGTACTCTATCTATTCTAGAGATTTCCTAGAACATGTAGAATGTCATTGTTTATAAAAAATAAGTTAATAAATTACAATTTTACACAGTTTTTTTGGAAATTGATCGGTGTACGAATACTTTCTACATCCACTGTATGTTATCTTATTTAAAAGAATATCGATGACCTTGAAATCTCGTCAAATGTAACTCCAAAAATGGATGTTTACTAATTAGAATATTTACTTCTACGAAATAAAAATTCTTCCTTGAAAGAAACAAAGATATTTTTAATTCTAGTGTTAAGAAAACTATTCAATATAATATGTTAGGTATTGAAAGGAAAAAGGGTGAACAACCTTGTAGAAGATATGTAACATTTAACTATGTTTCATAACAACAAGAAAATATATATTTATTTGTAAAGTATAATATAAAGAGCAGTAACGAGAACATATCGAAGAAATCATCATTTATAAATATGTTTTGGCAAATGGAAATGTATGTCGTTAAACTTCTGTAAAAGTTTATAAAAAAGTCTTAGAAAACTGCCTATTGAATATAATTATCGAATATAATCATTGAATATATGCATACAATACAGCTGTAAAAATATTTGTCTCCGCGACGTTTGTAACAAGAATGATAACGTTTGCGGTTATTCGACTGATAAAAGTAAGCTGTTGTTATATGCAATACTGGTTGGGTAATCCCGGACGAAACACTGATAAAGAAGGAACTAGGGGATCTCCCAGCAAGTGGCCCAGACGTATAAACATCCTGGAATAATCAACTGTTCCTCGCGCGAAAGATGAGTACACGACTCGCATAATTGAAGTGGGATATCCCGTTTTTCCTGACTTCGCTTGATTCAATGCCAGGAATCCTTGGCACACAATTACGTCGTGCTGCGCTTTACGATCCACGATTAGGTAATTGCAAGTATTAACATAAATATATGGTCAGTCATAGATCGAACATTGATAAGAATTGGTTATAATATACCGACTGGTAGTGTTTGATGTTAAAATTAAATAAAGTGTTATTAATAGAGTGCGGATGTTTATGCAATTATGGCAAATGAAGATACGATAAATTCTATAAGAGTGTGCACAAATGCAAACATATATGAAATATCAACAATAACTTTCATTTAAATTTCAATTCTTTTCTTCGTATTTGTGAAAATATGAATTTGCATAAACATACGCACTTCAATTATTAAGAAGGGACTTTAAGATTTGATTTCTTTGTAAAATACCTATTTAGATAGGTATTTAAATAAGAATACACAGGGTTACAATAAAACGTAAAACAATTCATTATATTCAACAATTTCTTTTTCGAAAACAAATAACTCAATAAAAGATCTGTTTGAGGTGATTTTGTTATCCATATATTGAGTAACGAAAGGAATAATTTTTATTTAGATACTTTAAATAATATAGCGATGCTGAAGCCATTACACGACAACGATGACTTCTTAATTGGCATAGCGGAGTTAAATATAAATTCCATTAAACCAATTGTTTTTTGAAGAAAGAATTGTTGAATATAGCTATGATTTTCGCGCATCCAAGGTGGTTTCCTCCCTTAAGTGTTCACCACAAATATACTAACAGGCATGATTGTTAAAAAACACAATTCTAAAATTCCTTTCATTTTTATGATGAAAAAAACATTTTTCTAAAGCCCCTTTAATTATGTCGATTATGTTTGAATTTCTTTAAAACTTCGTACAGATATGTAGTAGGATTCACCAATGCCTACGAATTGATCGACAATTCATTAATGTACATTTATAATTAATTGCAAATGGGTAACAGCCAACTATCGATGCTTTCTATTTTTACCGTTAAAAGCATCTTTCAACTTTCAGTAAGAGAATTGCTTTTTGACCTTGGCAATAGTGTACAATGATCAATGATGTGTATCGAGGAGAGACTTGCAATAA